GTTTCTTTGAGGATTTGTTGTTGCGGGATTTAATTTTTTGAGTGAAAACCAAGTCTTAAGAACTTTTCTCTGATGAGTTAAAACTGCTCACTACTTTCTATTTAAATAAGGTTTAATTGATACTATTTTGGTGAAAACTACCTTAATACTTTTAAATGACACTAAATACTTTCCAATTAGATCAGTCAATTTAAAGAAAACTGTTTCCATAAACTGGCTCGAAGAAATCATAAATTTGTTCATCATTAACATTATAGTCTACAATACAATGGATGTTTCCAGGGAAAACAAGTTCAGAAATCAGATGCATTTATCTTTATCTACCTTAAAGACAAACCATATGATCTCTTCTTAGCCACCCAGGTAATAGTTGAATATGTGAATATATATAATGGCCAGTGACAACACCTGAGCATAAAAGTTTGCCTTACAAAATATCTAAGAAGGAGAGAGGAGTGTGTGTGTGTGTGTGTGTGTGTGTGTGTGCGCGCGCGCGCGTGTGTGTTTAGTGCAAAACAGGTTGAAAAGAATTCAGTAAATTTTTTGTCATAAATGAAACAGTACAGCTGAGGTACAATAGTGAAATAGAATCTGCCACTATTAAACTGTTGCTTTCAGGGCTGGTAACTTTTATCTGTCAAGGGCATCTAGATACTTACAATGTCATTATGGGATGTACAAAATTACCAACATATAGGACAAGAGCAACTGGCAGGAAGTATTATGTGTCTGTCCTATCATATACCAAATAACATTCCCCACCTCTGCTTGATATACAATAGCAAGCATTTAGCATATTTTCCAAATGATGGTATATGTAAAGTTGGCAGATTAATGACCTATTGTTCTAGCTAGATGTGGTGGCGCAAATCTGTAGTCCTAGGCACTAAAGACACCAAAGCTAGGGGATTGCTTGAATCCAGCAGGTCAAGACTAGCCTGAGTAACATATCAAGACCCCCATCTCAAGAAGAAAAACGATCAACAAGAACAACAAAAAATCCTGTAACACCATCGTAGATCTTACATTTCATGTATAGAAAAAGATCAACACTTTCACATTATTGATAACAAAAGTAGACTTTGATTTTCACTAAGGTAATGGTTTTTGTTACCATTAAACTCCAATCATCTTTCTGTAACTATTGTCTATCTTTAATATAAGCAACTATTTGATATCTATCTCTAAAAAAATATTCAAACTTGGTTCAAATGACAGAAACCATCAACTGTTAGTAATTTATAAACCATTTAAAAAAGTTTTTAGATACCTTTTTATACACACCTGCAAACAATCTAAAGATGTACTAACTATTCGGGGACATTTAGACTGGCATGCCAACTCAAAGGGTAAGAAGTATTTGTCTGCTTCAATAAAATTTGTCTTTGATTTCACTGGTGGAAGGGTGCTTGATCCAACTTTTGCTTCTCCATGGGGAGGACTAAATGAAAAATGAGAGTCTGATATTAGAAAATCATTTAGACATAGAGACAGAATTTAGCAAAGTTCCTAAATGAGAAGAGTGTGATTAGGGTATTACATTTATTTGATAATAAATTCACAGAAACAGAATTATAGTTCTAAAAGGAACCTTGAGAAACCAATCTTCTATCTTCCCATAGTACATGAAGAAACCAAGGCCTAGAGAAAAATCAGTGACTTTCTACAAGGTCAAAAAGTAGTGACAGAACTGACTAAACAGGATTCCTGTTTAATTATTTTCCCAAAGCACTCAAGACCTATTATGTAAATATCTCATTTGTACCTACCTGTAGTATTATAATACCTTAAAAAGCAATGAGCTTTCCTTAAAAAGTAATGAGCTTTCTACACACCTTCCAGTTAAAGTATACTTCTGAATTACTTTCAATCTGTTCTAAAGAGGTTAACACGATTAAAAGAAATACACTAGTCATTTTTCTACATATAAATCAAAATCTTTAAGACATTAAAGTATGAATCATGGTATTTCAGAAATACTTTTCTATACTTATGAGAGTTTTGTGTTTCTAACTATGGCTTACAATTCTATTTCTTAAAACTCTTTGAAAATTATTTCACTATAAATATCACATGCAAAATTTGTTACTCTGAAAATATAGATGTTTATATTATTACTTTGGCCAAGACTGACAAGTTTGCAAATTATTTTTACTAAAGAAAAGAAATGCTACAAACCTCTGCTTTTCAGTTTCAGCTTTTATTTCATCTGGTAGAGGGAAGAAAAAAAGAAGCATACATTAGAAAACTTCACAACAGAAAGCTCATGAAATATCTTGATAATAGCCTTTGTAAACCCATTTGGATCTTCTGAAACATTAGGAAGACTGTAAAGAAAATTAAGTGCTCAGTCTGTTTCACTTAAATGTATTAATTTATACAAATATTGTATGTTTATTCAAAGAACTGACATTAACAACCAGACTTAGAATGGCAAGCATTCCATTTTCTCCTATCAATTGCCTTTTTGTCAAGTAACTACATTAATCTGAGGCAGTAGTAACACACTATTACAAATGTCATACTGAAGTCACACAACCTTCAGCATATTTTGGTTGAGGAAAACAAAACAAAACAAGACAAAAAAACCCTCAATGCACCAGACTTGTGCATCTAAGAGATTATTAGTCCACAGCAATAACTTATTGAATAGGTATATATTTGATATTTAATCATTTTTTTCTACTTTTGGCTACACAAGGCCCTGCAAAATATGCATGCCCAATTTAATAGAAAAAATATCCAATTTGCTATAGATATTCTAAGGGATTTGGTAAATCAGATAAATCTTACTTAAATGATGGCAACTGTTTAACTAAGTAAACCTCCTTGAAGTTGAAAATAAAAGCATGTGGCAAGCACACACTGTATTTGATATACTATATATAGATATATATTGGATATTTATTATACTAACTTTACACAAACCATTAATTGCACAAGTAAATACCTTAATATTTAAATATTTTTTCATTATTTAGAGAATATTAGTTTCTGTAATCAAACCCACGTAGATAAGACCTTACAAATTTAATACAGTGCGTTTACCCCTGTACAAATGGAAAAAAATTAAGTTTAACATTTCTAGACCAATATGGCTATTAATTGCTGTACAATGCCAACTTAACACGGTAAAACTGGGATACTTTTTCCAAAGTTGACAGTTTCTTATAACAACCTTTTGAGGTTTTAAGTATTAGAAAACTGAAGTAGAGAGGTTAGGGTGCCTGGCTAATAAGATTTCACCAGATTTCAATATTAGGTAATCAAATTAGGCATCCTGATTTATTAATCAGTATATTACACAGCAGCTTCTAAGACTATTGAGAAAAATGTAGGTATTAAAACAACCATAGTCCTATAAACTTAATAATTATCAAAACTACATTTTAGTATTTTCCATGTACCAAACTCCTTAGTAAGTTCTTTATAAAGAGCAACTTTGCCAAATCATCTTCCAATGTAACTTATTGATAAAGTATGCTTATTACCTACTGTGTCAAACATTTGATGCTCAGTGTTTCAGTCTAATTTTCTTTGAACCAAATCCCTTTCCACTGTAACAATGGTAGGAAAAGAAGAACAGTACAAAAACTATTGTCTGGAGCTATTTAAAAATTACCCAAGCCGGGCGCCAGTGGTTCATGCCTGTAATCCTAGCTACTCAGGAAGGTGAGATCTGAGGATCACAGTTCAAAGCCAGCCTGGGCAGGAAAGTCCATGAGACTTTTATCTCTAATAAACCCGAAGTGGCAGTGTGGCTCAAGCAGTAGAGCTCTCGTTTTGAGCTGAAGAACGCAGGGACAGCGCCCAAGCCCAGCGTTCAAGCCCCACAAGTGACCAAAAAAGAAAAATTACCCAACGAAGGTTCATAATACCTAATTGCTTAAAATCGATGTCAAATATTAAATCAATAGTACATAAAAAAGTAGTTTAACTGATTTTAAAAATGTATAGAGTTATGAGTATGGCTCAAGTGATACAGCATTTTTCTGGCATCCTTGAGGCAAAAAAAAAATGGGGGGCTGGGAAGGTGGTTCAGTGGTAGAATGCTTGCTTTGCATGCATGAGGACCTGGGTTCGATTCCTCAGCACCACATAAGTAGGGGGAAAAAAAGCCTGAACTGATGCTGTGGCTCAAGTGGGCAGAGCACTAGCCTTGAACTGAAGAGCTGAGGGACAGCACCCAGGCCCAGAGTTCAGGTCCCAGGACTGACCCCCCCCAAAAAAAAAAAGATAAGGGAAAAATACAGTATCAATTGACCTAATTTTTTTCTTTTGGTGATTCTGGAGTTCAAACTCAACGCCTCAGGCCTTCAAAGCAGGCACTCTACCATTTGAGCTAAGACCATACTTCTTCGTAGTCTGCTTTTGTGACAGATCTCATGTTTTTGTCCAAGCTTGTCTGGAACTTCAATCCTCATACCTACACTTCCCACTCATATCTGGGATTACAGATCTGTACTACATGTCTGGCATAGTTGTTGAGAACTGAGTTGTCTTGCTAACTTTTGCCTCTGCTAGTCTCAAATCACAAACCTCCCAAAAAGCTAGGATTATAGGAGTGTACCACTACAGCATTTGTCATTAAATATTTATGTGACCATGAGTACAATCCTCACTTAACTACTAGATGGTTGCAAAGATCGCTTATAATAAATGGAAAGACAATAGTTCACCACCTGTTTTTTGTACAGTCCATGAGTTCGATTATAGTTTTGATAGCTATACTTCTGCAATTCACTTAAGTATGGGAAATACTAACTCTGAACCCCCAGAAAGAGAAATATTACTTCCCCTAAAAGAAATGCATTGCTCCCATTAGGAGACTAGGATTTTTTTTTAATTGGTCATGGGGCCTGAACTCTGGGCCTGGGTGCTGTCCCTCAGCATTTCAGCTCAAGGCTAGCTCTCTACCACTTGAGCCCTAGGGCCATTTCTAGCCTTTTCTGCTTACATGGTGCTGAGGAATCGAACCCAGGGCCTCACGTATGCAATGCAAGCACTCTACCACAGTGCCACCTTCCTAGCCCCAAGAGATGAGACTAGGATTATTAAGATCATTTCAATTACTAAATTTTACCCACAAAAATTCAGATTTTTTTCTCCTGTTACTTAAGGGCCTTCATAATGTTCTTCTAATAAACCTTTTTCAGAGAGCTGTTATCTTTCTCTTCTTGTCTCCTTTCCTCTCCTCTCCTCTCAATAACTTTTTTTTCTCCTTGAGGTACTGGTATTTAAACTTAGGATTTCATATCTGATAGGTCCTAAGTTCAAATTCATACTACCAAAGAAGGAGCTAGAGTAGGAAGAGGAGAAAAATAATGCAAATCCTTAGGCTCCATTTTGAGTCTACATCAAAGTTTCAAGGAGATTCTAGTACACTAATACTTGTAACAATTATTGCCATAAAGTGTTTTTAAAAAACAAGAAGGCAGATTCTACTCATTACATTCACATCCATTTATATCTAACCCTAGATTGAGTCTATGCCAAATTCCTTTTTTATTTTATTGAGGCAGTGATTAAACCCTTTACCAATGAGCCAAAAATCCAACCACTCATTTAATTAACATATATTGAATGCATAGTAAACTTCAAAAGAGTGTGCTTCAGGTTGACCTTCAATAGCAGAACAAAGAAACAATGTGTCAATTATTTATTTTTTTTGGGGGGTGGGGGAGGGATCCAGTCCTGGGGCCTGAACTCTGGGCCTGGGCGCTGTCCCTCAGCTCTTCAGCTCAAGGCTAGCACTCTACCACTTGAGCCACAGCACCACTTTCGGCTTTTTTCTTTTTGCTTATGTGGTGCTGAGGAATCCTACCTAGGGCCTCAGGCATGCAAGGTAAGCGCTCTACCACTGAGCCACCTTCCCAGCCCACAATGTGTCAATTATTAAACACAGAAAAAATGAAAACACCAAATTAAGAATATACTCAAAATAAAAATCATGAGATGAAAAAAAAAATCACAAGATGTTTGCGAAATTCAGTACTTCATTCCAGTACTGAAATTTCAGGTATTATTTCCTTTCTAGTTATTAATACCCCTATACCTTTCAAAATTATTTTTAGTGTATGTGTGTGCACACGCACCACCAATGTGTGTGTGAGCGCGCCAATCCTAGGGCTTGAATTCAGGACTTGGGTGCTGTTCCTGAGATTTTTTTTCTTTTTTGCAGGATTCACATTTATTGATTTGAATACCTAACACTTGCTAAACATGCATTTCACACTAATTGGTCACATTTCTACTGGTAGTTCACAGGACAGGGGCCCACCCCTTGCCAGCAGGAATGTGTGGAAGGTAACATAGGGTCTTAGCAGCCTACAGAGCCCACCAACTGTCATTCAGTCACTCCGGGTTGGTGGCCAATGGCCCTTTGGGAATGAGGGCTCAGAGACATCCAGCTTGTTCAATTCCCATGAAGGACTGTGGGGAGAGTGGCAGGCTTAGGCTATAGGTGCCACCAGAACCCCAAAGTAGTATTTGTGGGAAATGGCACTTGCTATGCCAGAAGGCACAGGAAGGGGAAAGAGGCCTCTTGGAGGTGGTGGCTTGCCCCTTGCTAGGCAGGTGGGAAGGGATCTCCAGACAGCCCAGACATTACAATGTGGCCAGTAGCTCCTATCACAGGCCTGGAATGGCAACACAGACAAAACTACTAACAGCCCAGGGCAGGTTTCCCAACAGAAACATGTACACAGAAACATTGTGTAGCTTGTGAGCTACACAATTCTTTTCCCACAGGATTCCTCAGAGAGGAATCAACCAGGTATCACTCATGAGGTAGTTTTGTTGTTCCCCAATAGAAATCTGACCACTTGAGACACAGCTCTACTTCCAGGTTTTTGGTAATTAATTGGAGGTAAGAGTCTCACAGACTTTCCTAGCTAGGATGGCTTTGATCTATGATTCTCAGATCTCAGCCTCCTGAGTAGCCAAGATTACAGGTGTGATCCAGTAGCATCTTGCAATTTTTATTTATATATTTAAATAGCCTGTTAGAAATACAATCATTGTGTTATATGTAAGATTAAAACATTGTTCATTGATATAAAAAGAATAGTGCTAAAGCATTTTGAAAGAAATACAACTTTAATCTTTTCAAATATATTCAAAAATTGGAACATAATCACCACTGTGGATAAGGTGTGTAACTCACTTAATAAACAGGAAGGAATGATCTGTTTAAAAAACAGAGCATATGCAAGTTATACTTGATCTTATAAATATATTGAATATTCCTTAGTAATATTTTACTAATAACTTTGTTTAGCAGCTCTTCTTTCCCCACTAACAATGCAAACACAAACTTCAACACAACACATATAGATTTAACAGCATCTATCATTTAAACATTATGATTAATTTCTATCTACCTCTTGACAAAGTGTCTTATACAGACTCACCAGAACTCACACATTCCAAGTAGTCTCCTTCAAAGTATTAACGGTATGAGTCTATGCATCAATTATTATAATGCTACTAGTATTCTAAACTATTTGTGGAATTTGTAGTTCTCTGCCAGTCTTCTACTTTTAAATGAATGACCTCAGAAGGAAAATTCTCTAGAAAAAAAATCACATTAACCACCAATTAATCACAAGTGGCTTCAACCAAATCTAAAGATAGTAAGGGACTATAAAATGAAAAGTTCCTCAAACCTGTATTTCTGTGAATCATTTTGAATTGTGAATCTAAGAGTTATATATAACTCCTTATACTTTTCCAGGACAATTCCTTGTTATAACCCCACCAAGAGACAAGAGTCTAATTCCCTTCTCTTAAATTTGGGCTATCCTTAACAAGTCATTTAATAACCAAAAAAAACGCAGTAAAACTGATAGTGGACAACTGCCAAGGTTTGATCAGAAAAGGCCAAGCAATTTTTGCCTTATTTTCTAGGGAGGCTGACTCTTCAGACAATCTCCCCTCCTTCAGAATCTAAAGGCCCTGTTGAGAGAAGCCTAAGATACTTGGAGACTATGAGACAAAAGAGGTTCAGTCACTAGTCCAGCTGAGTCCAGTTTTTGGTCATCATAGCACAGTCCTTGAACCAACAAGTGAGTGAAAAAGATTCTTGAAGAATCCAGACTCCCCAATTTGAATTTTCCCAGCTGAGGTTCCAAACACTGTGAAGCAGTAACATGTTCCACTCATCTAAAATCCTAACACAAAGTCTAATGAGTTGAGAGATAATACAGAGCATAATAAATCAGTTACTATGTTATACCATGATGGAGGAAGTAATTGAGAGGCAGAGAAAGGACTGCCAAGTACATGGTAAATTCCATTAACATGTTCTGAAGATTTGAATAAGAAAATGAGCTGTTAACAAGTATAGTTCTCTACAAAATACACCTATTTTTTTAATCCCCTAATCTAACATCTTTGTAATAGACTCCTTATCCATCTTCTAGAATCTGGACAATCCAGAGTTGACACCTGTCAAAGTCTGACTCCTCCTCTCAAAATGGCACTCCAAATTATCCAGGTGATTTAGCTTCCTACTCAGCCCCTACTTTCCTGTTATGCGTGCCTCAAGAACCAAGGACATATTTTAATAAAGAATTTACTCATAAAAAGCACTGTGCTTACTTGCTTATCCTTGATTCTGAGCTTCTTGAATGCCAGGGATATTTATTAACATACATTATCTATGAGGTACAATGAATTTTCATTATGTGTTTACATTATGAAATGTTCAAATCAAAGTAACACATACTATTTTATACACTAATTTTATGAGTTTTATATACTATTTTTTGTGAAAACATTTAAAAATCTACCTAGTAAACTTGAAATTTACAGTAATTATCTTAGACCCAACGGCTAATGTTATTATAATTGAATGAATGAATCAATGTGGTACATACACACTAAATAATATTCAGTCTTAAAGAAGGATATCTTGGTATCAGTGACAACATGGCTGAAAAAGGAGGATATTATGCTAGATGAAATTAGACAAGCACGGAAAAACAAGCACTGAAAGATCTCACTTATATGTGGAATTTTAAAAAGTAGAACCATAGAAACAAGGATATACTGGTAGTTAACAGTCTGGGAAAGGGGAAGATGTTGATTAAAGTGTATAAAGTTTCAGTTAGGCAAAAGAAATAAGCTTTAGTGATCTACTAACCAGAATAGGGTTTTTATTTTTATTTTTGCCTTACTAGCACTTTGTAGAGTGTCAGTCACATAGTAAATAGGCAATTATTACTCTGTAGAGAAACAAACAAAAACAAAAAACTTCCTTTACGTTGCTTTGTCTTTATCCCTTTTTCTCATACCTTTCCTACTTTTGTTTCTTACGTCTAACATCAGTAGCAGAAAATGCTATCTATAAAGTCCTGTCTTTAGTTTATTCAGAGCTTAGCCAGTTGGATTTCTTGAGTTTTAATTGGTTAGAAAAATAAGC